CTCAGTTTCTCTTTGCTCCAATGAAAACAGTTTTTGATGCTATGAAACAATACTAAACTAGCCCCGATGGCCCGACAGCAGGTCTGCTACTCTCACCAAGTGTGTGCAGAGGCTTTCTCTCTGTGTCTGTTGTCAGGCATGCAGCACAATACGCAGCTGTGACTGCACTTTATGACTCCTCCTGATTGTCCACACGACACCCAGGGACAGCGAGAACAGGGCACGGGACAGGAGAGGCGTCCCCTCTCAACTTTTTGGTTTTAGGACCGCATTGCACTCAGGAATTATTAAGGACCCCTAAAGAGCATTTGTTTATTATGTTATATCTACTCATTAGGAATAAAAACAAAAAAAAAATTAAATATTTATGAATTCATTAAAAAAGCAATAATAAATTTATTACATGTTAACATAAATTTTTATGAAAAATAACTTTTAAAAATTTAATGAGGAGAGTGGGACTGTTTTATTTTGTTTTCTTTCCCCGAAGAGCATTTATTTTTTTCCATCAGGAAGGCAAATTATTGGCTAATCACCTGAACCAGTGGGCACTGTTTTATATTTTTGCAAATTTCTGTAATGTCTCGCTTTATGGAAGGCACCTGGATTTGGGTATCTATTTCTGCATTCAGTCTGTTACAGTACATTGTTTCAGTTAAAGTATGTGAAGAAAATTTGGCCTAATACAGATACGTTGTTTGAAAAGGGAGAAGTATTTCAATAGCCTTTTTCGGGAATAGTGGTTATTAATTTTCATTACTATACTGAAACTTGAATGGTAGTTTCGTAAGGGTTAGGTACAATGTGGACTCAAAACCATATCAGTGAACTTGTTATTACTTTGGGTACTTGTAAGCTAATAGGCATGAAGAGCAAATAACATCTTACTGTTATTATGATAAAAGTAGTATTGAGCTGACGGACCCCTGGAGGGTTCTGGGGGACCTCCCTCCCCAGTGGGGCCTGGACTGCACCCCGGAACCACTGGTGTAGGGTTTACAGTTAGCCACCGACTCTCTCCCCACTGCTGCTGCTTGTCAGACTGTGGTGCTGGGGGGAAGGAAGGGAAGGGAGGAGGACAGCAGAAGGAACGTGGCGGACTCGAGTCCAGTAGGTCTTTCCCGGCCCCGCCTCTGCCCAGCGGTGGAATCTTGGGCGAGGTTTTGACCGAGTCTCCACCGGTGGTGTCAGAGTTAGGGTGTGAGTCTACGCCGCTGAACCCTTGCCTGGGTGCTTCTAGTGTCACTGTGCCCCAAGGCCGCTTCCCAGCCTTGGCACGCTCAGCACCTCCTCCTTTTCTTTCTTCCTTACTTTCTTTTTCTCTCTGTGCGCCAGTCCCCGGGCTCCACCTGCCCCCTCCTTCACCCCATCTCTGCTTCCCTTTGCCCCGCTGCTGCCCTGGCCTGGTTTTGCCATGAAGATTGGTGCCATCGCCCGCTTCCTCCTTCCTAATTTCTTACTCCAGAGAGCCAGGCTTCTTCCCCGTGGATTTTCTGCTCCCCTCACACCTTTCCACGTTATCAGTGTGCTCCGTCATTCTCCCAGAGCCTGTTGTCAGTCCATTTGAGATCCGGTGCTCCAGTCACTTCCAGGCCCCGCCCCAGAATTTGATCTATCACAATACATCTCTGAGTTATTGCAGCTCGAGCGTTTTGACACAATACATTATGGTAATCCATGGCACATAGAGACATTAACACTCCCGACTTTGACAAAATACATTGTGAAGTCTTTGAAGGCACCATTATAATTTATCTTGTCATTCACCAACAGGCCCAGTTCAGCGTTAATGTAGATGAACACAGTGTGGCTTTTGTTTCATTTAATTGCTTGTGACCTTTTTAATTGCTAATTTAGCAAAATACCAAAGGGTAATATTTCAATTAAATTAACAGGTTGGGGAGTGTTTTTGTTAATATATTTACTTTTGAGACATTGTGGTTCTCTCTACTTTTTGAGTAAATAAAAATGTCTTCTCTTGAGCAGAGGTGGGTTTTTAAATGTGCAGTTGATAGTACGGTAATAATTTCAATATGCACATGGTACAGTGCCAAGCATATTTCACATAAGGTGGGTTTGCCCCTTTCCAGAAGGATGTAGCTAGACAAGGTGGCCGTGCGAAGTCGTAGAACTTGCCTGGTCCCAAAACCGGCTTTCGGCGTAACGATCTGCTTCAGCTGTTCGTCTTGGATGAAGAATCTGTTGCCTGCACCGGGTATCAGGCGCATCTATCTCTCTGCCTTGTACTGTTTCCTTTGTGTTCTGCAGCAAGCCTGCAAGTTCCTGAAGACCAGGAACCCTGCCCGGCCCTCCCCGAGCTCCCCCAGAGCCCGGCACGCGGCTGGCCGGGGAGAGCAGGCGCAGGTGGCGCAGCTGGCTGGCCTGTACGCAGAGACAGGCCCCCGCCGCCGAGCAGCAGCGCTCCTGAAGCTGCTTTGAGACGTGGCTCTGGAGCCCCGGGACCGAAGCTGCTCCCACCCAGCAGATAACCTGCTTCAGGGTGAGCAGCGTGTATCGGGGACACGTGCAGGGCCGTTCTGCCCGCTCCGCTCCCCCGGGTGCTGTTGCCCCTCTAGTCGTGAAAGCAGACATGCCCCTTGTCAGCCGGGGCAAGGCTCAGAGCGCGCTCAAGTATCAGGGGCCTGAATCCTCAAGTGGGGCATGAATTTACACTGCCAGAGAAGAGGAGGTCAGTGCGAGGGGCATTAGTATGTGGAGCCAGCTCCAGCTGTGTGAGTCTTGAATAAAATTAATAGAAGAAAATTGACAGGGCTTGCTGGTTATTCCATAGCTTTAAGACCTCTACTAAAATCCTATCATCTCGTCTGCCCGTTATTAACATTTCAGCAAAATATAAAGTTTTCATTAATCTCCCACAGCAAATTTAGGAGTGAAAACTGGCACTTGTTTGAGCTTTTAGGACTACATTAGCTGGTGTATTAAACAAAATATGTCATTCTTCAGTAGCTTCTGTGAGAAGCTAAATCAATTTCCAGCCATATTTATGCACCACTTTATCTAAAAGCATCTGAATTATCATTTACAGCTAAGATGCTTTATTAGCAGCTGGCATTGAAATTGCTCAGTAAAAAATTATATGTCACGTTATAGTAATTTTTAAATTGGTTTTAATCCAATATCATAAAATGTAAAACTCTTAAGTGTGGTTTTTTTTTTTTTTTAGTAATTGGCATTTTAACATAATGAGCTGTTACCTCTTTCCAAATCAAATACCTGCAATATTTAGAAAATACTAATTAGTAAAGAAAATAGAAATTTTTAAGCTAAGTTGTATCTAATAATGGTATTTCCTGAGAAAAGCTGGCTTTAAATGATTCTTAAAACATGAAAGGATTTTAATATTTCACCCAAATTCTCCGTAGTGTCTGTCCGTCTATGTGTATGTATGTATTTCTAAAATCAAAATAAATATATCTTAGCTGTTCTGTTTCAGTAAAATAAATATTGAGAAAGTGGATGGTTATTTATAACTAAATTCTAGCCAGCCTCTCAGTTTGAGACGGGGACGTTCCCTGGGGGGGGTGGTGAGTGTGAGGGCGGCATCGCAGGTGTCCCTAGGAAGGGAAACGGGTTACCCAGGGGCTCTTGCAGGCGTCCCGCGTGGCTCTGCTCACCCTGGCGAGGTGACGTTGGGGATGTCACCCAGCCTCTCTGATCCTCGCCGTCCTGTGGGGACGGCGCCTGGTGTTCATCCAGGGAGTGTTTAGTGAGCGTTTGCTTAGTCCTCCGCGTGGCAGCGCCGCGGGGCCTGGGCTGCAGTGGTGGGTGAAGCAGCCGCTGCGCCTGCCCGCGTGAGCTTCGCAGCCTCACGGCGGAGACAGACAACCGCTCCATGTGGGGAGGATTCTGAAGGGAAATGCAGGGTGCGTGACGGGAGGTGAACTAGACTGGGGGGGAGCGGAGGTGAGGGCACGTCTCGCTGGAGCGCCACCCGAGATAAGCTCTTCGGGAAGAGCAGGGAGCAGGCCTGGAGGGAGGAAACCGAGGAGAAGGGTGGCTTGGGCAGAGAGGGCAGCGTGTGCAAGCTCTCCAGCATGGGACCGTGTCACAGGCATTCGGTGAGGGACCCGCCCGTTAAGGGCAAGGCTGCGTGCGTCCTTGCGAGGGGAGAGCATTGTTGGAGAATGGCCCAAGCTGGGAATAACTGTAGCATTGGAAGGAGAGCGCGCGGGTCCTAATAGACGAATTCAGTGTGAAGGCATCAGAAACCAAGTTTGACTTAAAAGCTCGCCGTACACTGTAAGCCATAACTAAGAAAGAAACGTGTGTAGTTAGGCTGCCAGTTATGGAACAAAACATTCCTGTCTTATACCCAAGCCTAGAGGTTTTTACTACTCCAACTCTATCCCAAGGAGTTCTCTCTGGCTGCCCCTGCGGAGCCATCTCTGGGTGTCCCCTCCCGCTGGTGAGTGGCACCAGCAGCTGCCCCTTCAGAGGACCACTTTGCAACCTCTGGGGGGAGAGAGTTTAGCTTTGCTTTTTTAGCGTGACCTTGGACATGTGACTTCGCCTCAAAAGCAGAGAGTGGGGTGCAGGACGGCCAGCTGATAAATAGGCAGTTTGAGAATCTCAGAAAGGACAGGGATTCCTCAAGAAGCATGGACTTCTTTTATGATGAGGAAAATGAATATTAGAAAAAGAAACAAGAAATGTGACCACTCATGCTTTTGTGATTTTTGACTTAACTCTTGTGGAGACGGAGAGCCGCTGGCAAGCAGGAGTCTTTCTCTCCCTCTGGATCCCTGTGCCTGGCCAAGGGCCTGCCACAGCGTAGGCAGCGTATGTGGAATTAATTGTTGAGTGATTAATATGTTACCATTCTCTGTTTACTGGAATGGCATTATTAAGTCATCGCTCAGACTTTTCTTCTCCAAATTAAATCGCCCATATTATTTTAATGTATCCCAAAGCATTTTAAGCAGACACCATTTGCCAAGCCTCATGTATCTTTATGTGTTAAACTGCTTTTCCCTCCCCAGGTTCAAGGGCAGACGGGGTTTTTGAGGAGGATTCGCAGATCGACATAGCCACGGTACAGGATATGCTCAGCAGCCACCACTACAAGTCATTCAAAGTCAGCATGATCCACAGACTGCGCTTCACGACCGACGTACAGTTAGGTGAGTGCGCGAGCAGGTGACCAGCTGAGCCCTCTCTGTCCGCAGTCAGTGTAGAAGCAGGGGAACAGACAGCATGCCACTTCTGCGTGACCCACATACCCAACGGTAATGTGTTTTTTGGGGAAAACGTTTGAACAATGAAATTCAAAGTACCTCTTTCGTGAACGGAAGAGAAGTAGAACCTACTCGAGACTCTCTTCAACCTGGCTGACCTCTGCCAAGTCCCAGCGTCCTTGTCCCCCCGTGGCCCTCTTACGTGCCGCCCTCAGAACTGCTCGGCCGCACCTCACTTGCCTTTTCCCACCCAGTGGGCCCATCGCCTGTCCATTCGTGCAGTTCTCCGGGAAGGAGGCTTTCTGATGGTCTCAGAAGTTGTATCTGGGCTCTCACCAGACAATTCGGAACTGGCTTTCAGCTAATATTTGGGGTTAACTTGTTCCAACTAAATGCTCAATTTCTGTTTTGACTTCAAGCTAACAGGAGTAGAAAAAGTGTCATAGTAGTCAACACAGCATTAATACGTTATTGTTGTCATGGCTGTCACTCAGAGGTGTCCGCCGTGTATTAGGCGCTGTGCTAAGTGCTTTCCATGCTTTGCTTGACTGCCTAGAAAACGGCGTTCTCCGTCCCCACCTCATCTAACAGGGAAGGGAAATGAGGTGCGGAGAGGTGAGGGCTCACGCGCAAGCTCACACAGCAGGTGGGTGGTGGCGTCAGGACCAGAACTCAGGTCTGACCAGTGTGACTGCACCCGCTCCCTAACAAAGGATGCTGGGAGGCGGGGGAGCAGGGATGGAGCCCGGCTTGCTCAGTCACAGAGCCGGACTGCATGTGCCCTGGCTTTGCCGCTGACCTCGGCCGCACCGCCCCTCGCCTCCTGGGCCTTGTGTGCTTCATGCGAAAAGGGAGATGGCTAGGATTCTAATTCTAAGGCTCATGACTTTATGGTTCTCACAAATGCTTTGTACTTGTCTCATTGTCAAAATCTTTTCTGATGTTGGCATTAGTCTGGCTAATTTGTAATAAAGCCAGAAAAATAATCTCAATAATTTCTCCCCAGTTTGACTGACAGGGGCTTGAAATGCACTGACAGTACAGCTTAGAAATTAAGAAACGAGCATCTGAATCACAGCTGATTTAAATTGTGTTCTTTATCGAGAACCAGCCATGTTGGGCAAGTGTCTTCATCTTTCTGAGCCTCAGCTCCATTCTGCCCAACTGGGAAAGTCAGGGGTACCAGCCTCTTGGGGTTGCCGTGGGAACGAGGCAGCTGGCCCATGTTAAGCACTAGCACAGGGCCTGGCAGTTGGTAAAGCTTCTGTGAATGAGAGCCGTTAGCAGAGAAGCAAAATAGAGGAGCACTTAGAGGACAGACCCAGGACTTAGAAGCCTGGTTCAAACCCCCGCTCATTTGTTAGCTGTGTCATCGCAGGCAAATGATTCACAGTCTCAGTTTCCCCATTCGTAAAATAGAGGTGATAGTGCTTGTCTCACAGATGGGGTCATTATGGGGATGAAATGTCACAACACACGCGGAACACTTGGAAAGGCACCTGGCACGTAGCAAGTGCCCGGTGAACGTCAGCTGCTGAGATGGTGGTGATTCCAGCCCTGGCTGGGTGGCTCAGTTGGTTGGAGTGTGGTCCCAGTGCTGGTCGTGAGTTCAATACCTGGTCAGGGCACGTGCAAGAATAAACCAGTGGATATACGGATGGATGGAATGGCAAATCGATGTTTCTCTCTCTCTCCCTTCCTCTGTTTTTCTCTCCAAGGTCAATAACACTTTTTAAAATTAAAAAAAAAAGATTAATGGTGGTTCTAGCAAACTAAACAGATGAATTAGCACTCAGTAACTTTGAACCAAAACACAGAACCCACCTTGCTTCCCCCACTCTAGACTGTTTCTTCCTCCTTACCAAAAAGATCTAAGTCTTTAAAGTGGTTTAAAAAGTGCTCAAAAAGAAACCAGATCCAAAAAGGGTGGTAAAAGTATATACTGTATGATTCCATTTATATAATGTTCAAAAATACCCAAAAATACCCTTCCGTGGAGAAGTGATGATGGGGTTGTCCTGGGGAGCTTGCAGGGGAGGGGGGCGCTGCTGGGAGGCTGGTCAGGTTCTGTTCCTCACCCGGGCGCCGAGGCCACGAGTGTGGAGATTCGCGCCAGTCAAGCGTATACACCCTTAAGATTTACGCACTTTCTGTTGGTGGACGTTCAGTGAAGGGTTTGCTAAAACAAGAATGCTACGCGGACGTCCAGTCTGCACATGCCTGAGTGCAGTACCAGCTTCGTGGGCTCCTTCCCCTGCTTCTGTCCGAAGGCAGGAAGCCAAACTTGGAGTCACCGGATTCCGCCCTCTGTGCTCATTCAGAGGGAAAAGGTCCACGAAAGGACCTGGGGGAAGAGCCCAAGCTCTGCAGGCAGGACTGGGTTGGGACCCCAGCATTTCTGCTTTCCAGCGGTGTCACCTTGGACGAGTCCCGTCCCCGGCCAGTCTCCGTGTGTGTCATTCGCAGAATGCAAATGGTTTTAGCCTCCCGAGAGTGTGTGACAGCAGTGTGTGGAAGCTGTATTCGCAGTGGTCACTTGGTGGTGGTGGTCCTACTGTCGCTGTTGCTTAGTTGGCCTGCTGCTTTCACTCCCAGTCCACCATCTTGAGAGTCTTGAACCACATCACTCAGAGTAGGGAGGGACTCTGCTGTAGCCCCAGTGGGACTTCCCAGGTAGAAACGGATGATGACAGTGCTGCAAGTATCTCTCCCTGGAGCGGTGGTGCTCAGCCACGAAGTGACCAGGCGCCAGGTCCTGGTCATCTCTGGAGGCTTCTGCTGGTACACATGGCGCCCTCTGGTGGAAAGTCACGGCGCTGAGGAGCTTCTGAAGCATGTCAGAGTGTTTCTGTTACCGTCTAAGTTGTCATTAGCAGTGTAAGCAGAAACCTCATTAAGTAGTCGTGAGGAATTTTTTGACAATCACATAAACTGTGCCCATGGACACTGCACTGTGCAGTGAATAAATGCACTCATTTCCTATCCCATGTACATGAGTTCAAATATGTAACATAAGACCCTCTGTCCCCCCTCGCAAAGCAGATGGTAACGCCCTTTCATCCGACAACACCACCAAAAGCCTGCACGCAGCAGCCCAGATACTCCCCCTTTCCTAACCGGAGCCTACCGCCGGGCGCAGGGCAGCAGTCAGCACACCCTTTGTGGGCCTTCAAGTGAGCGGCCGGGTCTGGAGATCGGTAAATAATTTATTTCATTTCAGCTGACTGGCCAGGTGCTTCACATCTCCCCTGACACTGTCGGAGGCCCCCTCCGCTCGTCCACCCCGTGTCAGCCAGCCAGCGCGGGGGCTTCCCTCGCCCCCTGTGGCAGGTGCTGCTAAGCGGTGAGCGTCTGTGTGCGGCATTTACCTGGCGGCCCCGCTGAGTCCACAGAAACCGCCCGGCCACTCGGAGCCCGTGGTGCGTGAGAGCACACGGCTGGGGGCGGAGTCCCCAGGCTCCGTGGTGCTGGCGTGTCTGCTGGCGGGCCGCGGTGGCCGGCACTCCGGTGCTGCCATCTGCCTCTGACTCTGAGGCCAGGGGATGGGGGGTCAGACCTGGATCTGCAGGACCCAGAGGCAGACGAGTTTTCTGCCAGACTTTTCTACGATTGGAAAGTTTACTGGAGTCTATTAAAGAAACCCGTGGCAGAGATCTGATCGTTTAAAATAACAGTAACAAGAACTCGGTCCCTGCACTTCCCCCGGGCCTGGACCCGACGTCGGGATCCTCCCCGACGCGGCCCCACAAGCAGCTCCTGCCAGTCGTGGGCGTCGTTGGCGTGCCGTCCCTGCTCTGGAAGGCTCACCAGACGAGGCCACCATCCCCGCCCGTTCCTCGTCTCCTGAACGCATTCTGGGGGTGCGTTGCCTTGCCTGCGTCCCTCTGTGCTGGGCCTAAAAGTACAAACGCCCTTTGAATGTAGCCCTGGCTTGAGCTCGGGCCAAGCTGAGGGTCTTTTCATTACTTGATCTCCCTTTTGCCTGGTGCCGTGTGGCTGGCTGTAGGATCAGACCCTAAGGCATGGGTGCAGCCCAAACACGCCAAGACTAGCAGGGTGCATAGGTTTGGGTCAGACGGTGAATGCCAGCCGCGATCGAGAAAGCCAATAGTGTGCTGCCAGTGAGCCCCCGCTGGCTGGCTAGCTGGCAGGAGCTGGGCTGTGAGGCACCTGCCGAGGGGCCGCCCGGAAACCTACGAGAAACACGGCGGAGAGGGCCAGGACGCCGCCATCGCCATCACCATCACGTACCTCTCCTCTACACCGCGCCCCCAGCCGTGCTTCCGGTCCTGACCCCGTGTGGGGATTGCCGAGTCCCTGACCTCGCCCCAGACCTCCTGGCGCACAGTCCCCCTCTAATTGTGGGGTCTGAGAAACACAGCCTTGGGGTAGGCGCAGGGCTTCCCTACCCCTTATCTCTTCGTCCAGGGCTTGTTTTCACCGGCTGGGCAGGTCAGCCTGGTGTTCCCGAACACAGTCCTGGGCTGAGAAATGCTCTGATGCTTGTGCCCCTTGTGCTAACTGGGTTCCTTCACCCGATCATTTGTCATTGTAGACTGTCCTCTGTCACCAAAGGGAAACATAATGTACGTTGAACTCATACCACAGTATAAATACACAATATACTATCTGTGTCATGTTGCATATGTAGTCTAACAATTCTGCATAGGATATACAAAGTCTGTACTAGATTTACAGATCAAGACTATATTGTAAAATAACCTCTACAAAAAGGTCACCTCCCTTAATCTCTTCATAAAACAGTCCACAAGTGTAATCATAATACTTGTGATCACAGTAGTTATTTATCAGAATTACCAAGTACAACAGCCCATATCTTAGAGAAGACAATGAACTTGCATCTCAGAAACTGACTCCAGTCCGGTTTCTAAGGGCTGCCCAGAGCGCTGTGCTGAGGCAGCACCCTGAACCACGTCCGAGGCAGC